CAGCAGCAGCAGCAGCAGCAGCAACAATCGTCTCAGGATAGGCCTAGTTTCACCGACCTTAGCAATTCTTTGAATGCTCAGAAGTACGCTCAGCAGCGGTCGACGCAGGATCAATCGCAGATTCTTGCATTCCAACAGAACCTGACAGCGCATGAATCTCTTTATCCTGGTGGTTTTCAATCGTCCGGTTATCCGATGCCAAATTCCCGGCCGGTGTATCCCAGCCCTCATTACTTCGACGCCGGTTCGAAGAGTGCGTCCAACAGCGGAGCAGCGAACAGTTCGACGAGTAACTTGCCACCGGTGAAGAAACGTATTTACAACGAATCGTCTGCAGAGGCGTCGCGAGGCTTGACGCAGGAGACAGCAGCAAGAACAGGTCAGGAGCAGTTCGGCTTTGATCCCATAATGGCGTTGCCGCAGCCGGAGACAGTTTCAGCTAGTCAGTTCGACGCAGCGTTCGTCGGGAACCTGGCCGATTCTGTGGCAACGAATCCAGCGTACGCCCGTTTAGGTCTAGGTCTGGTGGGTCGTACGAGCAAAGAACAGCAACAATTGTTGACCATTCCTCGGCCACCGCCGACGAAACCGGAACATCTAGCGTACGCTCGTAGTCCGGCTCCCAGTGGCCCGGAACTTGACCTGAATTTGCTTCAAAGTTTGCAGACGGCAGCTGCAAAAAACACGCAGGGTATACTGTCGATGTCGTCGTCGTCGTCGTCGTCGTCGTCTCGCAGGAGCGGAGAAACATCCGTCGGTTCTACGTCGGCGCCTGCGAAAACGAAGAAGAGCAGAAAGAGCAAACAACAGCAGCAAGAGCAACAGAATGTGACGAGCGTTTCGTCGGCGGTCAGCACGGAGCCACAATCCAGCGCAGGTATACCTGGTTTCCCGCAATACACGGGAACATCGGCGGACTCGATCGGTCTCAAGAACACCACCATGGTCCCACCAACTGGGAGTGCCTTTAACTTCGCTGCGTCGACCAGCACCACGACCAGTTCACCTTTCTACGATAAGGACGCGTCGGCCGCGGCGGCGGCGTTCGCGTTCCTCGACGAGTTCCGAAATCCAAATAGTTACTACAGCATGGCGCTCAGGCAGCAACAGCAGCAACAACAGCAACAAGTCCCGCCGGTGACCGATGCCACGCAGCAAGCCTGTAATAAGCTTAGCAACCAACCGCCAAGAAATTATCCGCCTCATCCTTTCCTTCACTCCGCTCAAAGGTCAGCAGCTTACGGACCACCGGTGTCGGCATACGTGACGCCTCACGGGCCGAACTTGACGATGGACCCGACCGCTTATCAACAGTACATTCATTCCTTGTATGCACTTCAACCGCCGCCCCATCATCATCGACCGTCCTGGCTTTAGCCGTTAAAATCTTTGTAACGAGCATTTTGGAGAGGTTTATACACGACGTTTCGTTAGTGGATGATGTACCGTCCTCGTCCTCGTCCGAGGAAATTGTATTTCTAACCAGAGAGAGATGACGACGACGGTAGATTTCTATTTTGCTGGTCGAATTTAGCGTTTCGTTCGCATAGGTGAAATGCGATAAGAAAGGTTTTTATCGCGATTGTAAATATCGTTTCGTCTGTAACACTGTAATCAAAACTTTCTTCTTTCTAGGGGGAAAAAAGAAACGACACCGATGTTTCTTTCCTTTAATCAATGTGACTAGGAATAGTGTCCTTTTGTATAATAGAATCGTGAAGATTTTTTTTTAAACTTTTTTGAACGAAGGAATTTCGATGGATATAATTTTCGATTACTTGCTTTATTTTTAATTAGACATTCGTTCTTTTCTTTTTGTTTTTTTCTTTTTATCGATTTTTTTTTTTTCTTTGAAGAAAAATCTCGGTACTGTGATGATAAGGATCGAAGAACGTTTTGATTATTGTATCCCTTAAGACTATCGATACATTATGAATGAACTGGAAAACATCAAATAGTAGAAAAAAGCGCGATGAAAGATTTTCGATGATACATTTTCTTTCTGTTCTTTTTCTTTTTTCCCTTTTATGAATATTGTTTTTAACGATTGACTAGCGATAACGGATTTTTTAATGCTTTTCAAAATCAATAACAGATTGTCCTTTTCATTCTCCGCATTTGTTTCCTTTTTCTTTTTTTCTTTTTTTTTTTTATATATATAAATACTGTACGGATCTTTGACACTTTTACACACATACACACACACACACAGTGTATCAGGAACAAAAAAATTTACCTTTAAAATGGGTAATTTATTATTGTAGTCATATGTATATAAAGGATAAGCCTACTTTATTGTAGGAATTTTTGATAGTTTTTTTTCTAATGACTAGTCGACAGCTTAGACGTAAGTTGAGTCGCTAGTGCCGGAAGTAACCTTCTATCAAAAGTTCCTCTATTTATTGCGCTCTCGATGGTGTCTCCCTTTTTTTCTTTCTCGATCTGCCCTGAGATACAAATTACTCGATATTCAATTTTTCTTTTCACGTAAAAAGAAAGGAGAAGGAAAAATTATGATGGCCCACGTTTATAAACGTGCTCGTCTCGCCTGTGGAAAATATGTTGTTTTAGGTTCGAGTAAAATGGAAAGGTTAAGAAACAATTTACTAGACAAGACTAGAATGTATACGTACGTGGCGTCTGATTTTTGAAAAGATTTCTGTACGATATCGAGCGCACTGTTGCTGGTGTATCTTATGTAGAATATATAGATTCGTTAGCGCGTAAGCTAGAACATTTGTTTCTTTGTATATAAAATACATATCCTTCATAGACGATGTGCTCGATGTAAAGAAAGATCTGCAAAGTCAAAGACCTTATAGAGTCGTCCGAGATAGATTGAAGAAAAAAAAGAAAAAAAAAAGAAGAATAAAACAACGGGAAATTGTAGGGACATAGTGAAGAATGAAAGATGTATGTATGCGCGAACGAGCATGAGTATGTGTTGTATCTTATGAACGAGAACGAAACAAAGTGTAATACACCGCAATTATACATTAACCCACCTTATTGCTAAAAGAAAACGGAAGGAAGCGGTATATTAAAATCTTATAAATATATACATATATATATTGTAAATGTATATTGTAAATGTATCTGACAGATTAAAGCACAGTTTGTTACAAATTTGTCTTATTTGTACTTTCGTATGTAGGACAGTATTTCATTAATTGGCTATGGATTGTGATTAGTTAATTGTAAGTATGTAAGAGATAAATATTAATGTTCCGTTGAACACTAGTGGTCAGTTATTGAAGTTTTGGCCATTTAATGAATGAATCTAATGACACTACATTAAAAAATTCGTAGCGTTTTTATTATAAATTAAACATTAAAGTCAAGAAGTTAAATATTTAAAGAAATTACCAAATAAAATCGAAAAATTTTTCACGGGAAGACTCGTGCAAAGTTACAAATGAAAAGTTTAATTCTTGTTAAATCTTCCTTAAGTTTTGCTACAAACTTTTCGAACAGTACAATATATATTGTATATAAATCTGATCTATTTGATTCACAATTCTATATTAAATATTGTGTTACATTTTTTTTACATCATACTTACAATGCAGTTTCTATCGAATAAAGATACATGTTAATATTATGTCTTCCAATCGATTACATTAATAGCATTAACAGCAACTGATCAATCGTTTTTATTAAAGTTTCGTCTTAAGGTCTTGATCTTAATATAATTCTAAGCACAACAATGGTTTAGTGAGATCCATTTATATTATGAATGTAATACATGCAATATTATCGTATTGTTTACTATAAATTTTTTCGTATTAACAGTATGGAAAATTTACAACAAATTTACAAATTTGCGCGGCATTCTTACAACATATAATACAGACGAATAATCCTATATCTATATGTCTGTGCAGTATAATATATTCAGTTGGTAACTATCATAATTGCAGAAAATTTAACCTCCAGAGATACGCATGATGAAACATAATAGTTCAAAAAGAATGCGAATATGATATTTACGAGTTCTATTTCTCTGATATATATATTTTTTGACTTAGATGACGAAAATTGCAGATACAGCAAATAAAATTAGTGTCTTTTAGACGGTGAAGAGCTTCAGAATAAAGTGCACATGTAAGAAAAAATTTAGGCAGTTTGTAATAGATAATGTGAAAAATTATTGCTAATTTATTACGTAACATTGAGGTTTCAGTGTACGTATCAATTATATATATTAAATAATTAATCTATTAAAATTAAATATTCAAATTAGGACAAAATTAATGAAACACTTTGATAAAATCAACGTTAATTAACATCAATTTATATTTTACACTGCTGTTGCGGAACAATTCTTTAAAAATTTCTATTATTTGCAGATTGTAATTTATATTTCTAACTTATTGCACGGCACAAGTACTTCCAAAATGTTGGAAAATATAAATAAAGAATTGTTACCGATAAAAACACATTATTTTTTATTCAATGCAGGTAATTAGATTATATTATATTTTGAATGTCATGTTTTATAAAATATTACATATAATTGTATCTTGTTTTTCAGCTACTGGACCAATAGTACCATTTTTGCCAACGATAGCAAAACAGTTAGGCTTCAGTGCTTTCTTAACTGGCACTATATACACAATATTACCAATTTCTGGTTTAATAGCAAAACCTTTGTTCGGAGCATTAGCTGACAAATTCAAAATTTACAAAATGATTTTTTTAATGTTTCAAGCTGTTGTGGCAATAGCTATGTTTTCCATATATTTTATACCGGAAATAGAGAGTAGTGCAATTGTTCAACTTAATTGTAATGGTGATGCATCTATAGAAATATGCTCAAAAAATAGACTCTCAAACAAAATTGTAAATAATGTGATAACAGAGACTGTTCACTTAAATGTATCATGTCAGGTATGACATCTTCATATTTTATTTTATTTTTAGTACATTAGATATGATTAATTTATATTTTATATATTTTTTTCTAGGCATCATGTAAAGCCTCAAAAAAATTTTATAACGAAATGTGTTTATATTGGAAAGTACCTCAGTTTTGTGAATTAGTAAATTCAACCTCTATTTTAAATAGTGATACGTTTAATTTTACCATAATATTTGACATGTTT